ATTGTATTGCACAAAGAATTATTATACATTATAATCCTATAATTTGTTATTGTTCTTCATAAATATTGGGATTTTATTCTTCTACTTTTGGTTTAATACATTATATGAAACTAAAAGTAATAATGATAGATAATAATAATAATAACAATAATAATAAAATAATTAAGAAGAAAATAAGAAATTGAAGAAAATAAAAAGTCAAACTAAATTATTAATCACATTTATTATATTTTTATGTAAAAGTAATATATATATTTTATTTTTTAATCAATTTATTTTTTAATAATTAAAATAAAATAAAAAATTAGTGTTTAATAATGCTTAGGTTAGAATTTTATATAATAGATATAGACATATAGATAGATGGATATAGAGAGATCCATATAGATAAATTTTACAATTTCAACAAAATAAAAAAATTTAGTCCCTAATTATTGCTTTGGAAACACTTTATATTATATAAAGATATAAATAGATATAATTTGTAATGCTTAAAATTAAAATGGAAGAATATGAACTCTTATTTCAATAAATAGGACTTCCATTCTTAATTTCTTTTGCTATGTTAAAAGCTTTTCCTTCCTTGATTTTTAATAAGATATACTTTTTCAAAAAAAATTATATTAAGATAAAAAAAAAAATACTACAAAGGAATTTCTTCTTCTTCTCAAATAGTTTCTTATAATAAGTGAGTTTAAATACATTGCACCCAATTCTTTGATAATATAGTCAAGATGGAATTGAATAATGTAATTAGGAAAATGATGTGTGCACACCCTGGTGTGCACCCCTCCACATAAAAAAAAAAAAAAAAATGGACCGAGTGTTGGATCCGAATGTGCACCAATCATGGTCCATGTAATTATTATAACAGATAACACGATATGTGTTCTTATTCTTTTCATGTAATAAATATTTCCTTTAACCATCTTATCTTTAAATTACAGAGTATTGGAACTTCAAATTATAGCATGAATAAAATTTTTCTACAAATGAACTTATTAATAAGAATCAGTAAATACTTAAAAGATCAAATATAATAACTCATAAATTACTTTCTCATCAATAAAACCATTTCTATACTTAGTCCTTATCATCTTTCAAATTAAAAATATTCCACAATCTACATATTGCACTTTAATCTTCTAATCTTCTTTATTGTGTAAAAGTATATCAAGAAATACATATTTCGCATATTTTGCAATTGATTTACTCTTAAATATTTTTGAAATTATATCAATAAAGTATTTCAAGATAAGATAAAATATTTAACATAATTAAGGAAAATATAAATTGGTAGTTAGAATTAAATACCTGTTCATTTTGGGAAAACACAATTAAAGCGCTTATATCCTCTAACCAATTTTTGGATAACAAATCTTTCAAACAAAACATTTAAATGTTATCAAGAATTAAAAAAACCTTAAACTCATTTACAGTGACTATTGATTATTGAAAAAGAAATTATCAAAAGAATGTACGCAAGGAGCATAGGAGAAAGAATGAGTTTAAATATGTGGCACTTGATTTTTGATTCTTAACTCTTCAATTTTTGACTATTTAGTCATTGATTCTTCATTTTCTTCATTTAGGAATTTTTGAATACTTACACCTTTGGCATTTCATGTTAAACTAATGTTGCTTCTTCATCTATTACATTCATTAATCAATTATTTTTATCATTTGCAATTTTCATTCATTTGCCTCTTCATCTACCACTCATTATCATTTATAATTATCATTTATTTTTGTCATTTACAATTTTCATATATTTTTATCATTTACAATTTTTTATGCACTTTTGTTTTTTTTTTTAATTAGTTAAATGTATACTCTATTAAATGCATAGGGTGGCATTTTATATAATATACAGATAGATTTTTCATTTACTACTTTTATATATTTTTATCATTTACAATTTTTTATGCACTTTCTTAAAAAAAAAATAGTTAAAAATGCATACTCTATTAAATGTATAGGGTGATATTTTATATAATATATAGATAGAAAAATTATTATAACAGACAACATGTTATGCATTCTTATTCTTTTCATGTAATGAACATTTTCTTTAACCATCTTATCTTTAAATTGCAAAGCATTGGAACTTCAAATTATAGCATGAATAAATTTTATTTGCAAACCAATTTGTTAATAAAGGATCATTAGGTACTTAAAAGACCAAATCCAATAACTCAAAAAATTACTTTCTCATAAGTAAAACCATTTCAGCACTTAAATAGTCATTATCAGCTTTCAAACTAAAATTATTCCACAATCTACATATCGCACTTTAATCTTCTAATCTTTTTTATCGTATAAAAGTTGATAAAATATATATATATTTCACATCTTTTGCAATTGATTTATGCAAAAATATTTTTGAAATTATAGCAATAAAGTAATTCAAAATAAAATAAAATATTTAACATAATTAAGAAAATTATAAATTGACAATTAGAATCAAATACTTGTTCATATTGAAAAAATACAATCAAAGTACCTACATCCAACAACCAATATTAGTGTTTACACCTAAAATAAACCAATAGGGTAAGGCCACGTGTCAAGGTAAAGCCCAATTATCAAGAAAATCAAAGGGCTGGATTTGGGCTGGGTTGGCTTATAATTTAACGGCCCAGACGGATCTCAAAGGAGGTTGGATTCTAGGTGGCAGAAGATAAGATGGGATCTGGTAGTTTGGGTTTGATTTAAAATGGGAAATTGAGGATTTTTAGGTAGTTATCTTTAAGGTTGTTGGAGATAAGGTTAAATAAAAATTGGATAACTGTCAAAGTAACTGCCAGACCTGCAACCCCACTACCAGATCATGGAGGAACAGCATCGGAAATCATGGAGGGAGGGTGACAGCACCGAAGCAAAGAAAAAGCAGAAGTGGAGATCAGTTACCGGCCAACCCAACACACACACAGACTGCCCAGAGCATGTTTTTCAGCTTTCAGACTGCATTTTTCATATTTCAGCAATAGTTTCCAGATTTCCCAGACTTTCCAGATTAGTTCATAGCCTTAGCCTAGGTTTGTTCATCTTTGTTCATATTTCCTTCCACAAATTCCAGTTTAGATTTATTTTTAAGTATTTGGAAGCAACTTAGCCTTCAAAACAGGTCTGCCCTTTTGATCCGGTTAGTTCTTCTTCCTTTTATGGATTTAGTTATGTTATTTGTTCATGTAAATA